TTCTGAATCTATGAAGAATGATCAGTAGTCAGTATTCAACAGTGATAATGATAATATATGATATTCTGACAATTTCATTGACAGAAGTTGATATAGAGAGGAAGTTTAACTCAAGTTGAGATATTTGTCATTATTATTGTAGTCAATTGCAAGAAGAAACTGTGAAGAAATTGATGATGATTAAGTATAGAAAAGAAAAAGAAATTGTTGATAAGAATGATATTGTGATGAAATACTTTTTCAATGATACAGTGAAGGAAAAAATTGACTGAGATTGTATATAGTATGAATGAGTTTATGAGCATTATCAATGATTATTATCAATTGTATATATATTATATAATCATCAGAACAGAATCAAACTTGAGTCAAAATAATAATCAGTTTCAGATCATGTTCTTATTTTTCATAGTCAGTTACTTTACATGAAATATCAAGATTTGTTAGTTCCATTCTGGTCATATTAGGCTCAAATCTGATCCTTTTACACTTCATTTCTGAAAATTTTGGTCCCTTTACACTCTCATTTTAATTCTGATCCCACTGAAAATCACATCAAGAAATGGACTGAGATCAAACCAAATCAAATCAAATGTGAAATTCATGGTTCCACCGGCCAGTCTAAGTGGATTTAGTATCAAGATTATCATCTCTTTTAATTTTCTTGATATTTCAACTCTATTCTCAAATATCTCTATAATACACAGTTCTGCAGCTTTCATTGAAATGTCAGATTCACAATTAATAATTCAGATATTAATATTAAAAAAAGTATTAGATATCAAAAAAGAAGTAATCTCATTATCTATCAAATCCTCTCTCTATTATTCTATCAAATTCTTTTGAATTCATGAAATATTCAATAATGAAAAGCTGCTATCTATATATACAAGATTTACAGCCACTAGTCAGCAGCTGAAGAAGATTTAAAATCAACAGTCAAATAAATACAATTTTTTATAAATTGAGTATGAGATAACTGTTCACTGATATTGTTAAAAGATGAATTATTATAACTTTGAGCAGAGTATTTATTGAATGACTTTTGATGATATTTATATTCAACTTCTGAGTAGTAAAATTGCCAGTTGAATAGATGATATTGAATATAAATATACAATAGTTAAAAATCTGTCAAGAAAGATGATAAAAAGATTAATAAATAGAAAGAAGAAGAAGAAATGAAAAAATAAATCTATCTCTGTTTCTAATTCTTCTATACAGATATTTCAGATATCAGCAGTTATTTTTCCTCTCTCAACTTCTTCTTTATCTAATATTATATCTTTAAATAAGATAATCAATGTGATGATGATGAAATATATAATGAAAGAAATAAGAGATATAAGAGAACTGAATTCAAACTTACTATTGAATTCAAATTTACTGTTAAATTCAAATCTATTATTAAATTCAAATCTACTATTGAATTCAAATCTGCTATTAAATTCAAATCTATTATTAAATTCAAATCTGTCTTCTATTTGAAGTAGTTCAATTTCTCAGTTTAATGAATATACAGATCTATTTATTGATGAATTCTTTAATTAATTGATGATAGAGAGATCTCAAAAAGTAGAAGCTCTTTTAACTATAAAGAGTATTATTTAGAATAAAGAATTTGAACTGAATTATATACAGACAATAATAAATAAACAGATGATTCAGTTGAATATTAAAATGAATATATTTTTGATAATAAGAGATGAGTTAAAGAGTTCTATCTGACAGTTATAGTTAAAGAAGATTAAATTGTCTTTATCTACTGTTTGTAGTGATGATAGCAGATTTTATACTATTTCTACTTCTGAATTTGAAACTTAGATATTATATATTATTATAATTAAATTATAATCTGAATCTTTTTAGATTTTACAATACTATTCTATATAAGCAGATCTGAAATATTCTTTTATATTTTCTTCTTTTATAAAGTTCTTAACTGTATGATATAAAAAGATTTTAAAATCTTCATTAAACTGATTCTCTAACTGATATCTGTATCTTCTAATTCATTCTTTCAATATATGAAATAACTTCTCTATAGAATTATAATTAGAAGAATATAAGAGTAAAAATAAAAGTTCAATATCAGCTTCTCTGCAGAGATCTTACAGTGCTTGTGAATAATAAGAAAAGTAATTATTTATTACTAAATAGTGATAATCTTATTGATATTTAAGCAGTATCTGAATATATACAAACTTATTGAATTTCTCTGTATTATAGAATCTCTGATATATATTATAATCAAAATATTCATTGATATTTATCACAGATAAAATTGATTATCTGTAAAATTATTTACAGAGTTTTCTAATATAATAAGAAAATCCTCTACTTGATTATTTATATTATTAATCTACAGTATATTTATTTACAGCACTCTCATCTAAAAATATAAATTAATTAGATTGATACTGAGTAATTTGAATATATTATTCAGTTTGAAGTTTTTCATTGTATTGAGTAATTATAGATTCAATCTATATCAAATAGAACTGACAGATTAACAGATTCTATAAGTGATAATTGCAATAATTAATTATTTTTTTTCATATCAAATTCAGTTTCTTCAATAATTTAGATATCAATCAAAAATAAATATCAATATCAAATTCATTCTTCATAAAGCAGATAGTCTCATCACAATATACAGTTGAATATATCTTAAAAAAATCCTTCAAATCTGATAAGATATTCAGTATGATCTTTGACTTTATATCTCATATTGAATAAGAACTTCTAGCAGTTTCAAAGCAGTAAATATTTCATTGAATTTGATATACAGTGATTAGATGACACTCAATAATTCACACAATCTGAGCAGATATATAATCATTATTTAGAAAGTATACAATCTCATTGATGATAAATTCACTGAGCTGAGGGGGCATAGACTGGCCGGTGGGACCATGAATTTCACATTTGGTTTGGTTTGGTTTGGTCCCAGTCCATTTCTTGGCATTATTTTAGTGGGATCAGGATCAGAATGGGAGTGTAAAGTGACTAGAATTATCAAAACATGAGTGAAATGGGACTAAAAAATCTTGATATTCCATGTAAAGTGACTGACTATCAAAATCAGAACATGATCTGGGACTGATCATGATTTTGACTCAAGTTTGGTCCCATTCTGATGATTATATAATACATCAATCTGATGATATAATTGGTGGAGATATTACCTCTATCTTGCTTAGTGCTCAATGCCCTGATGGCTCGCTATTAGATCCCCTATCTACCACTGCCAATCTACCTACCACTGCTAATCTATGCCGCTGCCAACCTACCTATCGCTGCTAATCTATCGCTGCTGCCAACCTACCTACCGCTGCCAACCTACCTATCGCTGCCAACCTACCTACCACTGCTAATCTATCGCTGCTAATCTATCGCTGCTAATCTATTGCTGCTAATCTATCGCTGCTAATCTATCGCTGCTAATCTATCACTGCTAATCTATCGCTGCTGCCAATCTACCTACCACTGCCAACCTATCTACTGCTGCTAATCTATCGCTGCTGCCAACCTACCTACCACTGCCAACCTACCTACCACTGCTAATCTATCGCTGCTAATCTATTGCTGCTAATCTATCGCTGCTAATCTATTGCTGCTAATCTATCTATCACTGCTAATCTATTGCTGCCAACCTACCTACCGCTGCCAACCTACCTACTGCTGCTAATCTATCGCTGCTAATCTATCGCTGCTAATCTATCGCTGCTAATCTATCGCTGCTAATCTATCGCTGCTAATCTATCGCTGCTAATCTATCGCTGCTAATCTATCGCTGCTAATCTATCGCTGCTAATCTATCGCTGCTAATCTATCGCTGCCAACCTACCTACCGCTGCTAATCTATCACTACTGCCAACCTATATAGGGTAAATCATGGTCCCATTTGGTCCCATTTTGTAAAAATGGGACCAAATGGGACTAGGATCACTAATTTATTAGTAGAACATGATCTGGGACTAGATTTATAATATAAACAGTGTAAAGTGACTAATTTACTAAACACTATATGGGACCAGGACTAAGATATCTAATAATGGGACCAAAGGAAAATCTGGTCCCAGTCCCATGCATGGTCACACGGCCAGTCTAAGGGGGCATATTGACAGATTTGATGATAAAGATGTGTATTTGATGATAAAGGTGTGTATTTGAATGAATTGGATGATATTTGAATGATTCTAGAGATATGTGGATATTTTGGTTATTTTTGTGGTGTTTTGCTACTACTTTTCAGGGGGTGGCAGAAAATTCTGTTTTCACAAGCTTTACATCCACCACAATAACATGGTGTCAATGATCGCCGTGAAGCTTGGCGTGGTTTCGTGGCGAAAATCACACAGATGGCCTGGCAAGATAAAACGACGCCCATTTTTACGCAGTGTTCCCTTCCCGGAGGAAATTTTGGGTGATTCGAGTATGAAAACCAATACAGGATGATCAACTGTTCCGAACCACCCTCGCTTTAAGTAGTATTCAGACGGTTTTGCCAGCAGCCAGTAACCCTCGCCACAAGTTGATAAAGACAGCCAAAATCCTGAGGTACGAAGGAGCATCAAGTGTGGATACTGAGTTGTGAAATTTTGTCTGGTTTTGTGCTCCAGTTTCTGTGAATCTGAGTTAAGTGCATTATTTTGTAGTGGAAGCGTACCCCAAGCTTATTTATGATGTCTATGTGTATTCCTAACCATCCTCTAACAGCAGTTTAAAACAAGCTTGAATCGATTCCTCGCTGTAGCTTAAGACGAGTACAGAGTCGAAGGCGGGGAGGAATTTTGTTTCGGAACGTCTAAAAGATCGCTTGCAAGAAATTCGGATGATTCGCGCCTGCGGATTCTGTAATGCGCGAGTGAAAGTTGTTGTTTATAATGACCACCATGTACTGTCCAATCGAGAACGTCCCGTCCAGACGATCAATGATAATGCTCAATTCGAGCTCTATCTAATGCTTACATGTATTTTTTAAACAGTACGCTGCTCGCACAGGTATGCGCACGCGTCAACAGCCACCGACTGAATGCGTGCGCCATGATCAAATCATCCAAACGCCGTTTATATGCGAAAATGCAAAATGCCATGAACGTCGTACCCAAAACGCCACGCCAAAAATGTCAAAGAAAACAAAGAAGAAAACTCATGAGAAATCAAATTTTCAAATGCGCCACTCTCACCCCGATCTCCTGTGGTGAAATATCACACCCAGACCTCAACACGACAGACTTGATTCTATTAACGGTAACAATACTGATCCACTCCCCGGCAACCGATGGCCGTACGAGGAGATCCAAACACGCCTCCACCTCCTGGTTTGATATCGGGCATCTCAAGGAGTCCCGAATATTTTGAATGATGGTGTTCCAACTATATGGCTTTTTATGTGATGGTGTGACGGTCACGGCGGAAGATAAAGACCCACGTCCCCCACTCAATAAAGAAGACGAAATCGAACATGACGGCCTCAGTAAAATCAATACGCCAACAACTTCTTCAACCAAATCGACGGCTGAGCGGCGTAGTATGGCTTCCTTTGACAGCGGGGGAGCCAGCGTCGTTTGCTTGAGTTGTTTGTTCTGGATTCTTTGAAGGAGCCCGTTCCGTCGTCCTGCGGTACCTGCACCACACGAGCTTCTTGCGTATGATGCTGCTCTTTCACCACATTTGCGACTTTCGGGATTATCGACCGCTGCTTTCACCCCCAATACTCCTCTTTGGAAATCGAGAAGACGTTGTTGTCCAATGCTTAGCGAGTTAAAGATAGTGGATGAATCGTGGATGGGAGCCAGTGGGATGGTGTGTAGGAAATCGACGTTTAATTCTTTCTGATCAGAATCCTTTAGGTTCTTCCGCCAGATGCGTCCCAGATTGCGAGTGAATAGATCATTTAGCTCAGCTTCGTTAAATGGGGTCACGAATCTGTTATTTGGGGTATTTGTGTTTAGTAACTCCAAACAGAACTTTCCAACACCATATTTGGCGATTCTGAAGCGCGGACCAGTGTTTGAGCCTTTCTCTCTGTCTGATATTTCCAGGTCGCTTTCTAATATATACAGCAGTCTTTGAATGTCTTTCCTCTCGACCTTGCGCTTTTTCCATATCTTCTCTATGCAAGGTAGTAGTTGGTTGAGGTCCGCAGATGTGTTTCGGCCATTATGAGCATAGTGTAGCGATAAAGCGGAAAGAAAGGAAGAATGTAGGTTTGTAAGATCGTAGAAGGATTGGGGCCAGTCGTCATCATCATTATCTAATATTTCATCAGGATTGATGCTGGTATTGGATAGGGTTGATTGCTGAAATCTGCGGTCATCGGTTGTGGATGGAGATGGGCTGGGGGATCGAAAACGCCTCGTTGGCGTTGAGGGAGATGTCGACTCTGTCGTAATACATGACGAAGAGGAAGAATGGGATGTAGACAATAAGGTAGAGGACTTCCTCAGCCTTGCTACTTTAGGCGCTCTTGCAATGGGTTCGTCGTCAAGTGAGTTCTCGTGCTCATTCCTGCTGCTAATCTCGACCTGGTTGTCGCCTATTTTACGTTTCTTCGAGGAAACGACATCTTTGGCATCCGATAGCCCTGCACCTGTCCCTGCCTTTCTCGACTTTCCAAATCTCTGTATCGCGCCTTGCTGTGTGTCACAGCGGGTTGAGGCTCGGGAGGTGCGGGAGCGCTGGAGCTTTGTGCCCATAATGCTTTCCTTAGAGGATGATTAAGAGATTTAAGATAATTATTGGAAGTAAGGAACTACTCTGTAAATAGGGAATAGGGAAATGAGTATGGAAGAGGATAATGAGGAAGAGGTGGAGAAATTTGGAATCTACAAAGAAAGAAGGGTGGCATTTTGGCGTTGTGGAGGTTTTGTTGATTTTCATTTCACGTTCCCGTAGACTCGAGACGTGATGGACGCGACGCGCAACAAATGACGCGACAAAGCCCTTGGCGTCAAACCGCCTTACTTGATTGGGTTAAATTGATTTCAATCGCCAAAGCCATCAAGAATATGAAGGCGAAGCTTGACAATCAGATCAAGACAAAGAAGTGAACGATGATGTATACAACATGCTGTGCACAGACCTGGTTTTGGGAAACCACCAAAAAAGCCGTCTTCCCTCATTCTTACACTCCCGGAAAAAGCCTTCAGGGTTGAATAAACAAAACTTAGTAGTCTCTGATTATAGACCAAGAAGGTATAAAAGGTTTCTGTAGTTACACATCATTGATTACAGGTGACAGCCAGTTTCGATCCAAAAACCATAACAGAACTTACTCCATTCACTCAAGACAATCACTCTCTCCGTTTCTGGCCGAGGAAATTCGCGACAAGGGAACCGCCTGTTCTGGATCCTTCGTATATTCCTTGCTGAGTTGAGTACCTTTCACTGCATGAAGGCTCATAAGATGGGCCATATGCGACATATTTCAGTTAACAATAGCCGTGAACACAAACATGGGGACCATTGGAACGCAACCGTTGGATGAATAGGCATGCAACGAAAAACGAAAAAATACATCAAAGCCACATATTTCGCCATGAGCCATGAAATGAAAGTAAAGTTCAAAAGAAGAGGAACCTGACGGAACTGGATTCGGGCGATCTTTCTTATTTTTCTTCTGGAAATCCTTATCAATCGTCAGTCCCCGTCCTTACACCCCATTATTTCTTCCCGCCAAACCAGGAGGAGATGCCTTTTTGAGCCTCGGCCGCTTTATGCTCAACGCTCTTGTCGAATGAATCGATTTTTTCATTTATATCTTTGGCAACATCTTTACGGGCTTTGTTGAGCTTTTCGGCTTCTTCCTTGGCAAATTTGGTCGCTCTCTCATCCTGCTTGGTATCGATGCTTGCATCAGCCATGAGTTTCACAGACACAGCGCACTAGGCAAGGAGAGGGAAAAAAAGAATATCCCGTTGAAGTTTGTCCCTTTTGGTGAGATTTTGGAGAGAATACAGAGTAAAGGTAGTGCACATATTATTTAAAGTAATTTCGGTAAGAATGGAGAAAATATGGGGAATTCTAGCAAGTAAATGAGAGAAAGACAACATATATACTGACCGCATGATCTATGCTTGCTCCAACCTGTTCAGCACTCCCATGGCCCAGCGCCTTGTTACTCTCGTCTCGGATTTTCGACCCAGCGCGAGAAGCATCATCTACCAAAAATAAAAAACATCAACCGCACGCCACTTGGTCAGCTCGATACTTCTTGTCTCTTTAAACTGTATGGCATGGAGATTGCAGTTCCTCCTCGAATGACGAATAGCAACCATTGTTAAGCTAGCTATATCCCACTGGAGAATCTGGCTACCCACCTTCGAATTTCCTAGTGGCTCTTTTGGGATCGCCTCCTGCACGGTATAGATAATATCCGCCAGCACCAGCAGCGGCAAGGCCTAAGTACACTGGCATACGTGACTTGGACATGATTGCTTCGTTGTTGGCGTGTTTGAAAAATCCTGAATCCGTGGTGGTTTCGTATCCTTGTCGTAAGTCTTCAGACTGGTGTTTTTTCGCCTCGGGCTATTTAGATGTCGGCTTGAGAGGTTGAGAAGGAGAGAGGAGAAATGGACAAATGAAAAGAATATAAGTTAAAAATAAAATGTAGCCTTTAAGGTTTTGTTTCTTGTCAAAATGGCTACTTCTGCTTGCTGACGAGTCGTAGGCGGAGGCGGTCGGTTCTTCTTATGAATTAGAAGTGGAGAAGAAGTAATAGAAGACATTTTATGACGTTCAGGATACCTAGACATGCTTTCTTTCTCACCCTTGTTGCAAACAAGGTTCTTAGAGGAGCTCGCGGATCGAGGCAATGACGTTATAAGTCCCAGATTGGGCAAATCACCTTGAGGTTACCTCTGTATTGGCCACATAATGTCACGTGATCACAAAACTGTCACGGCCAGTTGACCATTAACCGTGAACAAGTTGAAAAAGAACCTGCCAGGCAGAAGCAATTGTGTATTGGTCTTATTTCTTTCCCGCCTTCTTGGAGCGCCACATATATAAACCAAATAATCGGAGAAGTAAGGGAGAAGTAAACGATCATAAGAAGATTAATAAATACATAACAGGACGAATGACAAAATATAGAGAAATGGGGAAAAAGAGAGAACGGGAGGTATATAGACATAGAAATGGAAAGAAAAATAATACAACATTCTTCAAACGAAATAGCGCGGCTCATCAAACACATGGTACCTGTGGCCACGGACGCCTTGGCCCCGGAAGAGAGCCGGGAATCGCAGTCCGGCAGGTACATGATCTTCGGAAACGCGGACGTTAGATGTATCTTCCGGTTGACCCACGAGGAATTTGCCAACCTAAAATTAAGAGGGAAACCCATGTTAGCGAAAAAAAAACCAGGTTAGAGATAGATTAGAAAGATAGGGAATACCTGTATTTCCGTATCAGTGATAGTTCCCCGGCTCACTCTCGCATAGCCCGTTCGCTTAATTCCCTTGTAGAGGATATACTCGCACCACCGATCCCAATCGCTTGGGTCAATATCTCTCATCCTACTCGCCTCGCTAACATATGTGTTATAGTTACCTTCAAGGGGCTTCGTGACGAGGTAACTGAGTAGAATCAAAGGTCGTGGAGAGTCTCCCATGAGCTTCGACAGATACTCACTCTGCAGCCGACGGTCTTCTGGATCTTCTTCCTGGCCTGAGTGGAAGACCACAATGTCCACATGTTCGCCGTACATGTCTAGAGTGGCGTGGATGGCTGGTGCGAGCTCGCCAACTGGAGATGGGAGGAGGTGGTGTGTCGAGTTGAGAATCGGGAACTTGGAGAGCAGAGCGCAGCCCCAGGTGTGCTTATTGGGTCCTGGACCGTAGTCCACGTACATTCCCAGATCTTCCGCAAGGAATTGGGTAGTGTCACGGTTACCCATGATAATTCTCTGGAGATCTGATTCTAAAAGACCGACAACATCAAGTTCGAGATCCTTGATTGCATCCCGCATGCGTCTCTCTGAAGACCACATGTCATTGTCAAGAGAGAAATGCACTGTCCAGATACCAGCGGTGACCAGTTTTTCATTTTTGTGGTAGGGCGTATAATCGTTTGTCGGGAATCGAAGATATGATATTGAGATCGACAGTAGTTGAAGAAGGGCAAGGATGTACACGTAATAAGATCGCGACTTCCCATTACTCGAGACGGATCTCTTACCCCTCACCGTAGTGGACTGGGAATTCGAAATGGCGGCAGAGAATACACCAGCACCAATGAGGAGCATTGAGGTAAGCATGACCCAGTCGGTATGCTCTCTCACAAGTGGACCACCGGGAACGAAAGCATATGCAACAACCCAAACATGGAACAGAACCATGAAGTTATATATAAGGAAGCCAAGACCGAAGGATGTGGCGGGAGAATGGTGAACAGCGGAGGTGATAAGCACAGGCGAAACGGACATCAGATAGACAGCAAGTGTGAGGCCGCCGTAGTAGCCGAACCAATGGCTATACGAGGTTAACACGGCAGCGCCAATAGAGCCAATGCCAAACGCCGTCCAGGAGCCTGATAGGCGGGGATAGAAGACTCCAAACATTAAACCCACACCCATTGCGATGATCGTATAAGTTCCGTGGGGGACTGCTATGGGTCCTCGAATAGGAAACCCTTCCCAGACCCAGAGAATCATAGTGCTTGAGTCCGACAGAAGAGAGTGCATGGCAAAGAACAACCCGCCCAGTCCTGCAGCAGCAAGGACAGATGATCCCTTCTTACCAGTGGTAGGGAAATAGTCGCCGCTTGTAGTAACTCTTCGGGTTGAACGGATAACGGACAATACAGCAAGGATGAAGGCGGTTTTGTTCCACCCGCCGTTTCCCGGGTGCATAATTGGCCAAATTGGATTATTGGTCTGTGCCCCAAACTTGGCTACACTTGACATGAGGAGGCCGAGGCCCCATGCCAGTACCCGAGACTCAAGACGTGCAGGTTGCGACCTTTCGCCGTACCACGTTGCTGGCCAGGCTAAGCAGCTCATAGCTACTGAAAACCCAACCGTGAAAAGGCGGTACTCGGGGCGCTGGATGAGGTAGGCAAGAAGGCCGCTTAAAGAGAGGAGGTGGATAAAACGAACATTGCGTATGGCAAAATACCGGAATCCTGGAATAGATAGGAGAAAGGGAGACACTGAAGCCATAACAAAGACTTCATAGCCCGATATCCCCATATGCCAGAGTGGGAAGTCTAGTAGAAGTTAGCGAGACATTGTCAATCCAGAGTCATATATATACCTCAGTGAGAGAACTTACACCACACCAAAACGCCGAGAGATGTTAGAATGGACCAGAAGACGAACTACGACTAATCAGTGCATGCTCCAGAGGAGGGCAAGTTGTTTTAAATATTCTTCTTACGCCGTTGTACACATCAGCAGCCGCATCAATCGCCTCTGCCCAGAAAAATCCTTCACCAAAAGTACGACCAACAGGTTTATCCTTTCTGTACTTGTGGGGTTAACATGTGCAGAATAAATGAGAGAGAAGAAAGGCAAGGCGTACTGCGTTTCAAGGACAGCGTCTCCAGCGGTCTTCGATCTTCTGCATATTACTTCTTAGACACCTATTTCATCACTCCAGGCGGGGAAAAAAACGTGAAGAGTACATTTGTCTATTTTGGAAGCCAATTGACATACCCTCTGCTGATACCCTTCACATCTCTTACCACAATTTCGAATGTGCTAAAATCAAGGACCGTAACCGCGTCGAATCCCACGTCGAATAAGACAAGCGCCCATTCAAAGAAGGCGTATTTCGTGTAAGCTAATTGTTCACATCAGAATCGAAAATTCAAAGGAAGAATGAGATATTCAAGTCAAACAGCGTTGTACTAACCGCCAGGCACCCTGTGAACTTTATGCTGGATAAAGTAGTATATCAATGGAACAAGTGTGCCGAAAAAGACGCCTGCAAGAATCTTCCGATACTTCACGGCCTGACGGTTATTGGGGCTTAAGGCAAGGCACCCCAAAGTCCAGGGCAGGGTAGCAACCAGATATGAAATCATGAATATATCGTGCCAATCATGATCATCCGTCGAAGTAATATATGTCCAGCCACCGCAAGTCAATGTCCGGAACAATCCAGTCCCAGCGATGAATTTCGGGAGGGAAGAGTTTGGACGAGCTGTAAGGATGTACCAGAGGAAGACGAGAGCAAAGCGCGGGCCTGAGGTGATAGCAATAAACAGCTGGAAGACCGATCGTTCCGGGTAGCGATCACCAATTGTTGCCGACACTGAGGGGAACCATTCTTGTGGGTAGCCGTAGTATTCGTTTTGGACAATCTTGTGGTAGTGAAGCCGCATGCCGACAATCAATGCCCCGAGGAAGGCAGTATAGGCGGCGAGGGTATGCGCCCATGACACCCATCTGCCATTGATCTTCGTTTACAAGGTCAGTATAAACCAGCACACACGCCGGATAGCCGCCAATATGAATATATATATACTAACAGATACGACAGTATCTCCGTCCTTGAATTTGGGAGCCATGGTTGTTGTGGCAGAAGTACCAGGGTCCTAGGGTCGGTTATTCTCTAATGCGATTACATGTACAAAAACGACAAATGAATCATTAAAATGATATGTATTAAAGGATAGTACCGGTGAGAAAGGAATTCGAAACGTAAATGAAAGAAGAAAGGAAATAACACCGCGAAGAAAGCTGCGTGGTGAAGCCAACAACTGCCCCTGAGGTGTCCGGTGTCGTTTTGAGGATGGTTGGGGAGAACCTCTGAAGCGAGAGGTTGATCCAAAGCAGCTAGCGTCCAGTGGAAGTATTTTTTTCCGAATCCTGTGTCAAAAATAATGCAGCTTGGGGATTCTTTGAGGATTGCCATGTTTTGCGATGAGCCCTCTCGTGACACTCTCTTCTTAGCAAACCATGGCCACGGCGAGCGATAAAGCTCGCTTTTATCTGGAGAAGCTTGTACCGGAATTCAAGGAGTACGAGAAGAAAAAGATATTTTCAAAGGTACCTAGACCTACCCAATCAAACAAATGACGAGACGATTTCAATTCCAAGATAAATGCTAACAAAGTACCAACCATTCCAATTCCAGGATGAGATTGCAGCGATCTTGAAGAAGCGATCTGATTTTGAGCATAGAATTAATGCGACAGGGCCCAAACCTGCAGATTACGCCCAGTATGCGGCGTACGAAATGAACCTGGACACCCTGCGACGGAAGCGGATAAAAAGACTAGGCGTTAAATCACCCATGCATTCTGGCCAGAGACGGGTATTTTTCATTCTCGACCGCGCAACGAAGAAGTTCCACGGCGATATCAGCCTATGGATGCAGTACATCGAATATGCCAGGCGGCAGAAGGCGTATAAGAAGCTCGGTCGGATTTTTATGAATGCGCTGCGATTACATCCTACGAAGGTCGAGCTGTGGATATGTGCAGCCCGATATGCGCTGGAAGACCACGGGGATATGACACAGGCACGCAGTTATATGCAGCGGGGTCTGAGGTTTTGCAAGAGCTCTAAATTACTTTGGCTGCAGTATGCTAAGCTTGAAATGCTATATATCACGCGGATCACAACGCGGCAACAGATTCTGGGCCTGGATGGTACTCGAAAATCTTCCTCGATGCCTGCTGACTCTGCAACGGATCCGAATGCAGATGTTATTGCCCTTCCGGTTGTGACGGAAGAAGATATCAACCCAAGCCTCGGGAAGGAAGATGGGGTTGACGAGGCCGCCCTTGAAAATCTCAACTCAACACCCGCTCTCACTGGAGCTATTCCCATCGCAATCTTCGACGCTGCTATGAAACGGTTCGGTAACGACGATGCCATTGGCCGTGACTTTTATGTCATGGTCTCTGAGTTTACAAACACGCCCTGCCTTCGCAGGGTGCTCGGCCACATTGTCGAATTTATGATGGCAGAAAATGCAACAAGTCCCCACGCACAGATATGTTATATTATGTTCCCCACGGCTGGCATCGAGGTAACCTCTGCGCGATTCCCGCAAGCATTTGGTACCTCCCTTAGTCGATTAAAAGAATGCAAGAGCCACAACATCGCTGGAAACAAAAGCCTAGCGAAGGAGATTGTCGCCTGGCTACAACCATTGATGACGCTAGAGGGACTCGATCCAGATCTGCAAAAGGTGATGAGGGCAACCCTGCGAAATGTTGAAGGATCATTGAGTTGAATTATCATTTTTGTCGTCAATATTTCCTTAAGATATGATATAGCAATGAGATCCAAACATATAATCGCTTCAAACTTTTATTTCCCATGCTACTTTCATACGCTAATCAACCGCTGTAGGAGTGACTTGTCACGACTCCTAATCATCGTAGCCGCTTGACCTCCGGCTGCTTTTCTTCATGCTACGGGCTTTTTTAGATCGTATTCTAGATTCATTATTGGCCTTTTCACTGGTTGGAAATTAGCAAATGTTGGCATCAAGCTCTAAGGATAGCCGAGAAGAGAACATACAGAGCCTGTACTTTCTTCCTCTGTTCAGGCGACGTTTCGCCCGGGATGGCCATTTTTCCAGCTGTGAGCAGGAGCTCCCGGAGCTTTTCAAAACAGAGATCGAGGTTTTTTGTCTGCTTCCGTGTTTCGTCCGATTGTATCACCAAGCTGTCAGAGCGTTCCGCGATGTAGCGCGAAGATCGGATCTGGGCGTGTAGGGCTCGAGGCACAAGTCGCAGAATGGTGGAGAGAGGAATTTTAAGCGTTACTTTCGAGTTTACCCTAAGCAACAATTTTATTATACATAAAACAAACATTACTAGTTTCTTTCCTCATCCTCTTAGGGTCATGAGGTTAAGAGAAAAAAATTTTCTATTTATGCCAGGACGGGGAATAGAGGATGGGGAGACAATGGACAGTAATTGTTGCTGGCATACTTGTTCACATTCTGGCCACCTGGGCCACTTGATCTACTATAGGAAACATCGCCTATATCCCTTGGAATTGTCCTTGGAGTAAGCTGGGATAGCCAGCTCCGTGCTATGGCCAATTCCTCGTCTGTAAACTCCTGTGCTTTGGGGCATCGGCTGGATGCAAGGTATCTTGTGCTAACTGTTGGAAAAAACACCCGAGTAGTAAAAACAGTTCTAGGATAGGAGAACGGAATTCGGAGCATGTCAACGATTACAAAGTTGATTGTAACCCCTGACGGTGCAGCTTTTGTTGTGCAATATCCGTCGCAGAGTGGGCCCCATTTCAAGTGGAGGAGACATCAAAAAAAATAAACGGCCTAGAATCGCCTAGACTCTGTGTTGCACACTTGGCAAGATCCGCTAGTCGTCGTCATTGGCAAACAAAGCAAACATGGCGCCAAAGAGCTCTAAAGGCGCTTGATTATATTGCTTGTTGCTCCGTTCGGCCATGAGGCTCAGAGCCAACCTCCACTGCTCCGACTACACAGTTCACACCAACCATCCAGCCACCTATCACTTTCCACTGTCTCTAGGGTCGTTACTTTCTCTCTGAATTCGTCGAGACCACGGATAGGGATCCTTTAAGTATTTCAACGTCCCTATGTCTGCTTACTTGCGCTCACCATATCCCTGCCCCTCCTCAGCCTGCAGGCCACGAATAACCAGCATCTCTTAACCAGTTTTTTTTTTTTTTCTATTTCCAGATGCCTTTTTAGTAACCCCCTATATGCATCTCGAAACCTCATACATGGCCTCAACTATCCCTGATGAGGTTTTTCATGTTCGTGGCAAGACTCTCACCCCGGAAAGTCCACAGCCACTTCATGTATCTGAACCTACTCACATCCCGTTGCTGCAGAGTCAGATGGATCCGTCATTTAGCGATTCACCCATGTATAAACAGATATTTATGGAGAAAACGCCACCTTTGGACACTGAGTCGGTTGTAGGTGAACAGGTTCAGGTCACAACGCATACATACGCTATGCTGCGTCATAAATTTGAAAACCTGGGGTCAAAAGGCGTTGGCGAGCAAGGAGCAGTTAGCTTTTCTCGATCTTTACACACGGGTTATCAACCAAAGACTGATACAGAAAATGAATCGACTTTTTCATCTGCTTACAGCACAAGTCAATCTCCATGTCGTGTTTCTCAAACCTCCACTGCTGACGTGAACGAACCAACCGTGCCTTCCCATACCACATCCATCACATCTGAAACTCCGTCCCCATTAGATCGTCCTATACTTTCCGAGAACTCCCCATCCGAACCCCATTATTCACCTACGCTTCCGGGCAATGATCAAATGACGGGATCAAAGGATGCAGACGTGAAATCCACTAGGAAATTTATTTCTCCCGCTTCTCTTGGTGATCATAATAAAAACATTAAAACTAAAGCAGATCTTGAGGGAGATGCCAGCGACCAGAAATCCCTGAATACCTTATCAAATGCTAAAAGTGCCAAAAGTACTACCGATTCTCCCACAAAATACCGCCGTTACTACCGCATCTTCTAATAATTATGTGACCAAAGCTTCAACCCTAGACACATCCCCTCCACCTTCTGCTGGTCTCCCTCCCCGCCCACCACCCCCAAGAAAGACCTTCTATCCGACCGGGTCCTGACAACATTCAATATTTCCACCCGTTGCCCAACCAACCTGAAAGTGGATCTTCCCAATACGGCCCAAGTAATTTTCCTAAGCCTAGTGGGCTGCCATCCCCTGCATCTGGAACTTCGTCTACCTCAAATGGATTTCCCCCTCATATTGCGGGTTTTCAGAAATTTTCCCAATCACCTGGCAACCAAACGAAAAGCAGTGTTCCAAAGGCTCCCCGAAGTGATAGGCTGAACAACGAAGAACCCAAGAGTTCCCGCTGGGAAGGAGATAGGGAGGAGCCTTGGGCGCCTGAAATTCAGAAAAAATATGATAAATTTCTCCATAACGAACGTGTTTATGTTACTGAAGGGCTTTGGGATCGGTTTTCGCCTGGATCGAGGTTGTTTGTTGGTAAGTTTTGTATTATTTTCCTTTTCAAGTGGGGATTTTTATTTTTTTTGTACATCTATTCTAATATTCAGAAAAGGGAATCTCCCCACGGAGAGAGTCACCAAACGGGACCTCTTCCACCTGTTTCATAAATACGGTGATCTCGCCCAAATATCCATTAAGCAGGCATATGGATTTGTCCAGTTCCTAGAACCTACATCTTGCCATAATGCGTTAGAAGCAGAACAAGGAGGATTTATACGAGGTCGCAAAATTCGTTAGTCACTCTTTCTTCAGCAGTGAATGTCTTTTCAATATGAGATCTTTTCCTGACTATTTAGATCTTGAAATCTCAAAACCTCAAAAATCAACGAGAAATGCTCCGGCACCGGATTCTTCGAGGCAACCAGTTAAGAGAAGGTCTAGGTCACCTGAAGCTGCCCGAGGTGTATCAAATTACCGTGGCATCCGTGACCGATTTGACAGAACTGCGGAGCCTGGCAGGCCACCTATCAGAGAATTCAGGGACCGTGATGAGCCGTATCGCCGTCGTGATGATTACCACTCAGCTCGCACGCCATCTCCACGTGGACACCGCCGAGGTGACCCTCGCTCCCATGATCGAATTCCAGAGAATTATGAACGACGTCGCAATAGGCGTCGTTCAAGGTCTCCTTACTCACGTTCAGGGAGATATAGAAGTCCGAGTCCGAGAGAAAAGGGTTCTGCAAATGACTCAGATCTTCATATTCCAAAGCGATCCCCACGAGAAGTACCAGATGTCGAGATAATTGTCTTAGAAAACGTTGATAGGTAAAAACCTCCTACAATGGTAGTTATTGGGAATAATGCTAAAAGCGACTACCATGTAGGGATTTCATACATCATATCGAAAAAACTTTTCGAGACCGGGGGTTGCGAACGAATGTTCTCATTTTAAGCCCCCGGATGTCCCTTACAGCTGTTATTCGACGTCAGATAATAGAGGGAGTGCAGGCAATTGTCAAGCTATCCCGCTCAAATCAGTATTCTGGCAAAATCCCATTACAGGTGTTTGATCGCACTGGTGGCATCGACAATGTTAAGTTCAATGGTGAGGTTTACAGCAGAAGGTTTAGTTTCTATTGTTTAAGCCTGTACTGATTCTTTGACTTTCAGAATATTCAGAGCTTGAATTGAATGTTGCTGCCGATGTCGTGCTTCATGCGACGACCATCCACCCTGGGAGTACCTCGAAATATACCACTACGCAAATGCCTGAAATTTCTCAACTGCAGGCGTCCTCTAAAGTCCCACCTCCTTTAAAATCTAATAATAATATTACGAATCTCATTTCTAGTCTAGATAGCACCGCACTTCAATCTCTCCTTCGAGCACTACAACAAAACCCTTCACCCCAGAATTCTGCCCAACTGACTAGCTGCACGCTCCAGGCCGCTCAGCAGCACTACACTCCCCAAGGCAACCCAACAGATCTTGCGAGTATCCTTAGTAGCTTCTCTCGTCAGCAAAATTCTTTGGTTCCTCCAACCTCTGCCACCCAAACAGCTCAGCCTCCTGCTTATGGGCTTCCACCGCAGCTCCCCGGCGGGAAAAGTGATCCGAACTTGGCATCCCTTCTGGCTCAAACTTTGGGAGGACAACGATTAAGTCAACCGCTTATCGCGCCTCCTCAGATAGCGCCACAGATGTCTCCCCATATTCAGAGTATCATGGACCAATTGAAGAAGTGGAAGCAATGAAATTTTTGTTTTCTTCACATTCAATCTACGAAATTTGTCTACATATGGTCCTTGTACATGAATTGGCATACTTGTCTCTCTATATCAGCTTTTTAGCAAACCATGGCGCATTCGACCTGTCAGTTGTTCGGCAAAGTTAATACGCAGAACGGGAAAATATCGAAGTGTGATAGCTGTTGAATCACCTTATCAGGAATGGGCCAAGGATATCAACCAGAGATGCTCGTCATCAAATAATGAAAATATCTAATTAATGCATCTTTCGATGACCGTAAACCTGGTAGCAGATTCCATACGCCTTCCGACATAGCCTGCACGTTATCCTTCTTCCCTGTAGATCAGAACGTAGTCGCCTAGTATGTATATCCGAATACGTGGCACGGGGGAAATAAAAGCAGACGCATAAATTGAATAAAACCACATGAGTGGTTTGCATATAAAATGTCGTTAAAAAACAGTGTGAAAAAGCATAATGTACAATGAGTCGGGCCATTCCCCCCAACCACAACCCTTATTCCGGGGTGCCAACAAAGTCATTGAGATGGATCAATCCACAATAACAATAGCACAGGTGCATGCCGGTACTAGTCACCCAAAATTCGTATTAGGCTCGGAAGAGCCACCCAGCAGACTAACTTGTCTGACTGCATTCACCTCCCTGCCCTACTCTCCGCAGCCATCGCGGCGTCATCCGCTTTTATCTTCGCAATTGTCTGATCCCGCTTATATTCCATAACACGCTTCTCTTTGAAATATTTCACCTAAATATTATTGACGAAGGCGTTCGTAAAAATAGTTAGCCATTTTCCATGAGCCCCTAATTATATTGGAGGTTTTTCCTTTCAAGCATTATAGATATAAAACATTGAACGTCAGGGAAAAAAAAGGAAAAACAAAAACCATGCAACGCACCCAAGTCTTCGAGCAAGCGCCTTCAAACTCGAGAATTTCCTTCGGGCATATTGCCCGCGCGGTTTTGTCTTCCCGGACGGCATCGACTATGTTATTTTGGTCCAGGCATTCGAAGAAAGCATCACGGGCAATGTAGCATTGTTGTCGTGAGGTGCGGTCAGGTGCTATGGAGCCACCGTCCGCCGTTTTGGGTGCGGCGGGTGAAGAGAACGATGAAAACCAGCCCATAACGGCGGCGGTTTATGGGCAATGGGTCGAGAAGATAGGCGGATGGTTTCGAAATATTAATGCAATTCACAGTCTATATATGGAGCGGAATTGGAAATACAGGCTTTTTGATCCACCTTTGTATTTTCCTCTTTTTTATCTTTTGAATTAGTACCATTACTCCGTGATAGCTGTCGCTCTGATCTCCGCGTCATTTCTGCGACAGAATTATATATATCACGTGATCTCATATTCTGGCCAGAATTTCCCGCTCCGAAATGTTGTCAACAGGAACATCATCTTGCGATCAAACCACCCCTATAATCAACCACTGCTTCTTTATAATAAATACCCATAAACCTGTACAGATAAGCAGCCACGCGCCATCTGTTATAAATACTGCCCCATCAACGCGCAAGCCTCGCGCAGTGTACTTGAAATGCCACTGACTCTACGTCCATAAACCCCCCAAACAACCACTTAACCCCTACCCATCCTTCCCTCTCTCTTCCGCATCGACTTCATGCAACGTCGTCGGAGACCCCCTCGACCCGGGGTTCTTACCGATTTGCCTCCCCTCAAGATCGTGACTAGAATCGTCGTACTCCAAGCCGCCTATTATGCTTGTGCTACGATCCTCATCCTCTTCACGGCTCTTGTAGCTGGCACCGCTTTTTCACCAGATCTAATACTCTCCTGGCGTAGTCTTAGCGGCGATACGACGATTGGATGGACACTCGGGCTCGTCTGGTTGCTCAACAGCGCTGTTGGGTAAAGACTCTCTTTTCCCACCCACCTCCCTTTCTTTTTTATACGTTCAATCCTGCCCTTTCATATTTATTTGCAGACCACCCATTTAACGAACGGGTGCGCAAAACAGTGTCATATTCCTTCTCCTCTGGGTCTCCCGTTCAAAACTGATTCCAGACTTCGCCCTCACAATCCACTTCATACACCTCCTCGTCACGTCTTTCTACACCCATTCCCTCCCTACAAACTTTCTCTGGTGGGGTTTGCAGGTCGTTAGCTCAGCACTCATGACATTCTTGGGCATGTGGGCTTGCCGGTGGAGGGAACTACAGCCCATCGTTTTCGGCGGGTCCGCTGCGAATGCGTCATCGAACGATGGTGGTAATAATGGCACGAATCAGTCTGGTGAGGATGCCACTGGAGGTGAAGATGGTAGAGGTGGTGGTGGTGGCATTTTCGAATTTTCAAGGGGGAGGGGCCGTGGCAGGAATAGGGAAGGCTATGAGATGATTGCAATGAAAGAGAGAGCTGACGATCCAGTTTGAAGATCGTTGTATACCCTCCTTCTCTTCTCCTCTTTTCTTTTTATTTCTTTCTAATTTATATACCCATTGGTGTCTTACAGTTTTCTTTTGTCTTGCATTGTATTGGCGTGGGTTGGGAATGCATTGCAGGTCACAGGAATTCCCTACCATGTAGATTTTAGCGTTTTCCTCTCTCGATATCATTCCTATTTGGCTATTATTTTTATTTTCGCCACTTGGGCGGGCACGGCAACGCTCTATAAACATGTTTGTTTTCTACCGACTTGGGAAAGCCGCAGAATTATCTGGCTACCTGCTCAACACAGTCGTGTATCTACATTGCAAGAGATATTAACTTCGTTCTGACTTGATCTAAGTCCACAAACCTGATAGGTCAAACCATGATCCATTCAAAAATTCTCCACAAACGGGGTGAGCCAAGCTTCAATATTGTCAAGCTCCTCAGGCGTTTGCAGACAAGTTTTTTGTTTTTCGGTTTTTGTTTTTTTAGCTGTTCTCTGTGGCCAGTCCCAGGTAGGAGGAACCCCAAAAATCATGATTGATTGACTCTAGTATAAACATAGAGTATCGCATTGCTCATTGTGCCCACGTTGTTCTCATTGAATCAACTAACCAAACATCATTCTCGTTGTCATCCTCGGATTTGATACAGGTGGAAATCCAATTTAGGGGCCGAGAAATATGTGTTTCCGGGATTCGCACCACAGGCATTCTCGATTCAATAATGTAGTTACGGGAGGACGGATGAATATACTCCAAAGCCAAATACATGGGGGATGATAGTTAATGGATCTGCCATTCGAGGAATAGCAAGTTCCGGGAAACCAAGTTGACTTACCCAAAGGAATGACGTAGCAAACTAGAGTTCCACGTGAGCAGATTTGCCCCAACCGTGGCAGCTCGCCCAAAGCAGCATCAATCAAATGACCTTTTGATCCCCAAAATGCCCTTCACCGAACTTCATCTGCAATCGTTTCCCCAATTCTTGTCACTGAATATCCTTGCGGAGTTCTATTCCTAAGACACCTGTATCTTTCATTTATATCTCGAGAATCTCTCTTCTATCCCGTACTCTTATCTCGCGTGGCTCAGTATGACTCCCCTCGATTGCCAATCATTCGCATACGCGCAGTTCTAAAAGCTCTGAGACCGCGAAATTCCTTTCTCATATATATCGTTTTGTTTATTTATACTTAAGGTATAAAAATGTTCCTTTATACCCCCCGCTGTGCTTTCATTTCGAGAAAACCAGGCAATAGCGCTTGGTTTGACCATTTCGGGGCTTCCAGGACCCAACCCAACCCCGCTCCAACTATTAGACCAAAATGAAAACGTCCCTAATTTTTTTGCCTTTAAACACGAAGGGAATAAAGTAGGGACGTATATGTAAAAGATGGCCGATTCTGAGCCGTCGTATATCGATTACGAAGCTTTCCTTGATCCCTCATTCTCCCCTGCTGCTTTCGCCAACACCCTTGTCACAAGCACAAACAACCCGTCCGATACCCCGCTTGATCTCTCGACTCCATTGTCTCGTGTCCTCTTCGATATCCAAGAAATCGACACCCATATCCATACATTGGCTACGAAATCTGCGCTTCCACTACTTACACATACGCGCGGCCAGACCGACGCTGGTCAGCGGGTTTTGGAGGCGGTAGAAGGGCAGGTTTCTGCATTAAGGGAGGGATATAGGAGGCTGGAGAAGGATGTTTTAGAGCGGTGGGAAAGTGCGGAGGAGGTTCGAGGTGCTGCCGAAAGATCATGGGCAACTGTGAGATTAGCAAGGGCAGTGGGAAGGTGTTTGGTGCTAGGTAGGCAGCTGGAAGGCCAGATGCTGGAGTTGACTGGCCGCCCAGTTGGAACGGGCCCAGACAGTGGAAGCTCGCTAGTGGTAGAAGATCATAGGGCACTTGTGCGGGCTTCTAACACGCTGTTAATGCTTCGGCGGATGTTTACCACCACTGAAGATGAGGAGTGTTTTGGGCTTGATCGAGTTAAGGTGATAAGGACTCTGAGAAGTGATCTGATCTCTCCAGCCGAGAGCGCGGTCAAAGCCAGAGCAACACAAATTATCAATAAATTCTCGCTGTCCTCATTAGCGATGGACACGGGCGGGGTAGGGTCTGCTGTCGGAGGTTCGGGAACTCAACTCCAAGCTCCTGGGGCGTCGACGTTCGCGCAAGCCGAAGATGCAAAGTCCCGCATTACCTCCGCAATTACTGCACTATATCTATTATCCCCAACCCCCCATACATCGATTCTGGCGTCTGAATTCCAGCCAGAATTGCTCCTTGTAACGCTGAAGGGCTATATCCATACATGTCTAACTTCATCGCTAGCTTCGTTGTCGCGCTCGTTGTCGATGCTCCCAACTCTCGACCGGACGCTTCAAGAAACATCTGCTAAGTGCCAAAACATTATGGCTTTTGAAGCTCTCCTAGAAACCATCAAACCTCCCGCTCACCCTTTTCTTAACTACAATTACCCCTCACTTTCCATACACTCGGAAGCCACAACTAGACCTACATCAAACCCATCCATCAAAGTCAAAGACAACCTTCTCCAACCATTACTTCAATGCCTCGACACATCTTCTCTCCCTTCCTACTTCTGGCGCTCACTAGCCTCGTCCCTCTCAACACGGGTTCAAGAGATTATCAACCGCGGGGGCGTCTCCGCAAGAACCCTGAGATCGAACCGGGAGCGACTCCGTGAGCAATTGAGGGAGTGTGTTCTGCGGGGTTCGCATCTACCAAATAATAGCGTCACTAGACTTGGAGGGTCTACGAGTCCTATTGTGGTGGGTAACTGGGAACGAGAAGCAGCTGTGATGGTAAGTGCAGTTGTAGGTCCTCTGGGAAGGTAGGAAAAAGAGATAAGAAAGGGGAAAAGAATACGAAAAAGAAAGAGACAACCCGCGTCGGACGGCTCTTTTGGATGTCTGAATTTTTACGATTCTATTATCACACCCAGATGTTACTAGCGAGCGAGTTATCCAAGTTTCAAATGCAGATGTTAGCTTAAATTTATCGTCTAATGTAGAACCCTACCTTGGAGAAGGCGAATAAGGATATTTTCACCATGATAGGAGAACGCGATCTGACCCATAATTGACCTAACCCGCAAAACATCAAGAAAAGTTTTGGCCACAGCTTTTCGGCATGTGCGGGTACATGCACAGTACATGCCAGCAGCTTTTTGACCCAGCAATCCTTGTCGTTCTTCCTGGTCGATAAAGATCATACTTCGCCGAAAAGCAAAAAAATTACGACGAAGCCCTGGCCTAGCATGTTATCACATGCTTCTCGTTCAACATCTCCCCTGTCCTTTTTGTTCTCATTTTTTCCCCGCCTCTGTTATTGAGTACCCCACTACTCACCCCTCCAAGCAGCCCTCCCCTACATTCCCAAAGTAAAACAGACTTTCGGCCAGGATCTGCATCTGGCAATCAATCGCCTTCCATCAGATCACAGTAGCGGCATACCAGACATGGATATGCTCTGTGTCACATCGCATGGCAAGATGCGTGGCGGCTGCTCAGGGATTGCCCTTTTTGCCCCTCTAGGGCCTCCATGTTCTTGGCGAACCTTCTTGAGCATTGGCGACAATATAGGTGTGCATGTACCATAATACCCCTGGTTTAATTGGGGTGAGCAACAATCGATTAGGTAGAGACCTTGGTTAAGGTTCAGGGCATCATCAATCAATCAAAGCGAAGCACCCCCTTTCTAGGGCGTCAAGCCCCCGAAAACCAGAACCTAACCAGGCTCCTCCTTCCGAGGGTAACGATGATCTAGTGTACTAGTATTAATTTTTCGTATGAGAGGTCATATTCCGCCGCATTCCGCCGCATGTGTTGATAGTCAACTTATTTTCTAGACCCATCACTCTGCGGAAAATGGTTCAGCAGTTGTGGGTGGGTGGGGAGGTTTACTCTCTCTTAAAATGGAGTTGAGAGCTGAAGTGGCCATTTTTAGGATTTGCTGGTGTTCTCCAAGGTTTCGCTTTTTGAGTTTTTCTTGATAACCTTGTACCCCCGATGGTTTGAGGGGAGGCAAAAATTAATTGATAAGAGGGTGATGGATGATATAGCCCATTTTCCCGGTTTTGTTTCCCATCAGTTATTTGTAAAGGGGCATTGGAGGTTGGTAACTTGACTTTTTCAGCATTTCTCAACCATGGACGCCTCGCCATGTACCTGCAGGTCCTCATGGTCAAAACCATAATTTGTCCCTGTCTAGAACCTCCTCCCCGACTTACCCCTCACACCGTGCGCGAGTTCAAGTTATTATGGTCGTATTTGAGGCTTTGGTTTGCTGGTGTGCCTTTTCTGCATTTAACAAAGTAAGATGTCCCTTGAATTTGATACCTCCAGGTGACAAGGACAACTATAACTGGTTTCGATCTCGACTTGTTCAACTTTGCACAGGCCAAGTCAGCTTTCTTCATAGTTTCAGATTTCTAATATAGTTTGTGTTACAAGCCAGAGAAGCTTCGTAAAAGACATGGCGAACGATGAGAAGATCAAGAATGGCGCATACGAAGTAGGGAAAGTTGGCCTTTGTTGAATGAGGGGTATATTTTCTTGTCGATGAAGAGACCCGCTTTTGCGGAATGCTTTTGTCAACAATGAACTTACTGTTTTGTATCTGGATATAGAACTATATGCAACCTACGGATATAGGGCATCGCCCAGGCACATTGCAATCCCCTTCCCTACTGGCGTACATATTAGTGTCAGTATAAAGTGTCATCCGGGGAGCGCACAAACAATTTATTTCGCCTGCCCCTCCTCTGCCCTCAATCCCGAGAGTCAAAAATATCTTGTCTGAAACACATAGTGGAACCTCCCCCCAAACCAAAAAACACGATTGAACAATGAAGACAAACCCTTCTAACCAGAAACGTTTATATTTCTCTCTTTGTTCTCTCCGCTTCCCCGCAATTGTATGCGTCAATATCCACGGCACCAAATATGATTGGTAACGTTGTAGCATCATCGCCTTGCGAAGTTGCGCCGTGACCACCCCATGCCTTGTTAACTTAAGAGTATTGTGTAAAGAAAAAGTAAATAGAGGAGGTCGCCCTTTCATCAATTCTAGTTTCTTTTTCACTTATACATATAGATGTACATATATATATCTTGATATCTTTTCGTCTCTTTTTCTGTTTTATGTTTCCTAATGAAGAATATTTAGTCCGAAACATGAAGTGGATTGAAATGACGTCACTATTTTTCCCCCACAGACAATTTAAGAACCAAAGAATTACTAGTAACCATTAATTAAGCAATAGAAATAAATGGCCTAACTATATATTTTATATATTTTATAGTATCTGTTCTCCCTCTCCCTCTTTCTTGCTATACCAACAACAACATGCGCGGGTTCAGCTATAAAAAACAGCTGCTCTTCCCGCTCAGATGCTTACTTACTTACCTTACCTCCTTGTGCACCTCTGCCAGCGCAGCTGTCACCGCAACCACACAGTGCTCAGAAGCTGAGCACAGCGTTTTAGCCCAGATTCTTCTCATGATAGTATTTTTAAAACCTGTAACAAAACACGCAAGGTGGTTGGTTGGTGGTTGGACACAAGGGCAATGCAATATTCGGTCCGTGCCCCCCAGTTCTCCTTCCTCTGAGAGAGATATACAAGTATATAGATAAAAAGTATGTACTGCACATGTGGCATGTGGGTTAGTTCAATGGCATTAATGGGCAATATGATTGATTACCTTTTGATGCTTGCATGCGGTCCTCCTTGTGCTTGTCAAGAGAAAAAAAAAAAAAGGAAAAAGAAAATAGAAACCCATAGACTAAAAGCCCAGGAATTTGTTCAAATTGTATCATCGTACAGTGCTTGGGTAGGAGCCATATTGACAAATATTAATAGTATCATTTCCCCACATCGGAGTCTGGAATACTCTAAAACACAATTGTGCCCACGCTCACCGGTTCATCCTTCCTTCCTATTGGGTGGATATTTTCAGAAAAATTTTCTACTTGTTGCATCAGTAGAGGGAGGGAAAAAATGTATATAAAAGATACCTGGTTTTGAAATTGGACGGAATATAGAAGCCGGTCCACGATGACTTTTGAGGAAGAAACTTCGGGTTGGGATAGAAGCGGGTGAGCGGAAATTGTCAATGTGTTTTCCCTTCTTACTATCTATTGGAGGGATCTCGATGGTGACCCGGCTACTTTGTGTAAGCTTGCTTTCCCCGTAGACTGTGCGTTGCTATATAAAGTAAGTGAATCCCGAATCAATGAACAAGAGAGACAAAAGTGGGTATTTGTAGGAGACCTCGTGAAGTGGACGATGGGCAAGGTAGATCGGTTGGAACTACTCCGTACACCATGCAAGCATTTGTCAACTACTGCTTGAAGATGCTGTCAAAGTGATACTTATCGGTTGGGATAGCTAAACGCACATAGATTACATGATAGAAGCCGTAAATCGAAAAAAAAAAAACAAAAAAAAAAAGCAGGATCGTGGATGGATCCCCTTAAAACCGGTTTGGCATCCAGCTGTTCTGCCGTCTCCCGCCAAGCTTGCCACCACCTATCAGGATTTTTGCCATGCTATCCTTTTGCGTTTGTTTGACGCTTCTAGATTGCCCCATTCATCCATACAGGCAGCTACCCCTATGGGCTGTATATTTCTTGTTCCCCAGCCTCCATCTTTCCTTTTTGTGCTTTTTATTACGCTTCAAGAGTCCTGCGGGTTAATATATGACCTGTACAGCCACAGGCACGGGCCACGGGTATAGTACAAGGGGTAATGTATCTACACTGGCGATCCGTCTAACCAGCACCTGTAGAATTGTTTAACAGGTCGAGGTGCTTGTGCATGTACAGGTACAGAGTCCATATTCCGAGCCCATCGGCAGGTACCCATCCCTACCCCATTCCATGGATCGATCGGGTTTGAGTTTTCCCCCAATTGAACAACTGCCTTCGCGCCAACCTTAAGGGGAGCCCTTGGGTCCAAGCCAAGACGTGCATGGCAACCATGGGATTCCTCAGCAGTTGATCCGAGCCCCCCAGGGCCCCGGCAAAGCCCGCGCGCCAGGGAAAAGCGCCCTGGCCCTAAATCCCGGCTAACCCCTCCCTCCCCATCGCTTCCCCTCCTCTTGCCAAGTGGCCATTCCGTCCGTACATTGTCGCCTGCTGCACAGCGAATGCGGAGCTCGTTGTTGTTCCCCTGCCCTCCTTCGCCCGAGGCTAGTGTGTTCATTCCCCCTGAGTGTCGCCGACGTCGTCATCAGCATCATCATCATTCAACCTTCACGGACCATCTCCGCCGGCACGCAGCGAGAAGATTGTATGTACGGTTGCCGCATCGGCGAAGCTGCCCATACCCCGTGTTTCTTACTAGTCATATCTCGAGAAATTGATACAGATTTCTCCAGTATTCTTTTTTTTCCCTTCCTTTTTCCTTTTTCTCTTCTTGTCTTTTACAAATGGTTATTTTCTCCAACCATTTACTATTATTCATTATTATTATTATTTACTTGGCTCATTCATCATCCATGCTGTATATAGAATTGTAAATACATGAGGGCGATGGACATCAATCGACACCGCCTCATTTATAAAAGATGTAGTGCATTGAGCCCCACTCGGGTCACGTATGTATGAATGTATGTATGTATGTGTGTATGTATGCACGTACATGTGCATGTACAGCTCCAACGGAAGCAGTGCTGAGTCCATGGGGCTTTCTGGATTCCTGGCTCGAAACCCAAAACCTTTTTCCCTTTTTGCACAGGCGGTTTCAAGATGGCTCGATGAGAGGCGAAGCTGTAACGCCAAGCCGCAAGGTGTACAAGCCTTATTTCTTATATGGGAATGGTTGCCAAGGCTTACCGGAGGGGACAACCCATCCGCGGCAATGGATCTATATAAGTTTCGGGAGGGTCGAGATGATAATAATAGACAAGGAGGAAGGGAGGGAGGGGGACGAGAAGGCGGGAAATGTGGGAGGATGGTCTTCTGCGGGATCTGGCCATGAGGCTGCTATTGGCGCATTGCTCGAGTCTGTAGTGTCCAACTGGTCCCAAGCAACTAAACTGAATACGGCAGTACAGGGGTGGCTGCGAGGCCTGTTTGGAGGAGAGAACTCGTATGTAAACTTGGTAGTGCTCTTGACTAACTAGCAACTGAAAGGAGAGACACGGGGGCGGGCTTTCCTCCTTCTCCCCCCCCTGTCTGCAGTTCCCCGCAAATGAGAGTCAAGGGTTGATGTTTTGTGCCTTATTACGCAGGCGCACTTCAAAAGTCCATTCCCACACTAGTAAGTTTGGCGGTAATCATTATACACGTGGCTGTTACCTGTGCTCATTGATGCCTATTTTTTCAGGGGTGGTTTGATAGGTGATTTACTCGCATCTATAACTAAACCTTATACATTGCTCCCACGCAGGAAGTCTATCAGTTTTCCATGTTGTGAAAGATAAATTCAAGGTAATTTACTAGGGCGGGAACGAACTTTTGAAGTACGCCTCCGTACTCGTATTCTTCTTCTTATCATTGCTGTTGTTGACCTGGCTAAATTGATCCGGACCCATCTTTTCATGCTAGGTTCTTTCCTCTCGACTGTTTTGACTCTGGGTGGCTCTGCGAAGAGAAGTCTGGATCTTAGGCCCCTTGCAGTTGTTCGCATTCTGTTTCTATGCTGGGGCAAGTCCGCGCAGCACTGTACTGTACATAGTAAGATCGAGAGACAGATGGACTGTAGCGATATAAAATCTATTCTGTGATATTTTATTTGACTTTTTGTTTTCTAGAATTTGTTCTCTGGGACAATCATGAGTAATTATAGTTAGTTGATTAGCTGACCGATCACTAGTTCGTTGAATTTATTTTTATTTTTAAAGTTACCTGAGGATGTAAGTGAGTTACCGCTGCTTTGGCCAACTTCCTCCAGCTCCAGCGCCCAGCCCACGGCAAACTCAACCAGATCAAGAGCCCCTCACCAGCGCATCGCTAGCCGGGCTGTCCCTGATGTATGTCATCACCATCCACCGACCAAATCGCCCTGCATCATCCGCCTCGATGAAACATCTGCCAGGTACATGTACTGTACCTGTACAATACTCGCCTCTGCTTTCTGTTCGCCTGTCTTCGCCTTGTAACTTGGTTCCTGTGCTGGTTCAGCTGCTGGGTGTTGTGTCTCTTGTTCTTGGTCTTGACTGGTCTGAGGAGGCTTAGACCATTTCTTTCCCCCCCCGTCGTCGCCGCCAACTTCAACCCCCTTCACGACCTTTCTTCACAACTCCTCCCCTCCAGCCATCTCCCCTCGACTTCACCTCTTGCCATCTTCACGAGGATCCACTAAACCATCGTCTTGATCACATCATCGTCGTCTTCTTCTTCTTCTTCTTCTTCCACTTCTTCTTCTTCTTCATCATCGTCATCATCACCATCACCATCATCATCATCACAACCATTATCACCACAACCACCATCACTACCACCACCACGATCACCGTCATCATCGCCTCATTTCCTCTCCACGGTAAATATTTCCCATATCCCCATACCCCCATCCGCCATCTCCCCTTGTTTCCCCTTTCAGTCTCTTCTCGTCTTCTTCCACCCAACGGGGATGTTGAGCCGTTTCTGCTGGTTTGCATACTGCCCTTCATTATACCTTCTAATAATTACCCATCAAAGAAAAACTATTCCGTCCTTGAGAGATCGCAAGAGGCGTGAGGAAAACCTGGTTCGCTAACACTGATCGACTCTTTGAGGTTTCATCCTTCAGCCTGGCCCGGCCTCGAACTCTCCTGTTCCTCCCTCTTGTCCCCTGCTGCTTCCACCCAACAGGTATTCTTATTAACCAGTATCCTTCCCCCTCTGATCCCGGACCTACCAGCCCTCAACCGTTTGACGACAGCTACGACAGCCACAAAATACCCATTACGACCTGCAGGCAGACACACGGATGCACCCGAGTATCATATCGTACCCATGTCGATCTGAATTTTTTCTTTTTCCCCCCTCGACCCGGTCGTCCTTCTGCCGCTGGTGACGGTACCTTACTTGTTTCCTCTCATCCTCGTCTTACCTACCCCCGTCCGTTTTGACAACATTGCAAACCAAAAGGTTTCCTGGTTCTTGGGGGGCGCCAAATCAACCTCCGAGCTGATTCTGGCCCTTTGTG